TTTATTTATCAGATCTAGGAGCTTTTTGGGTTTTGTAGGTGTACAATCATATCACCAGCAAAAAGCAAGAGTTTGACTTCCACTTTTCCAATTTGGATACCCTTTATTTTTTTCTCTTGTCTGATTGCTCTGGATAGGACTTCTAGTAGTAGGTTGAATATAAGTGTTGAAAGTGGACATTTGTGTCTTGTTCCAGTTCTCAGGGGATTGCTTTCAACTTTTCTCCCCTTCAGTATAATGTTGGCTGTGGGTTTGTCATGGACCACTTTTATTACCTTGAGGTATGTCCCTTCTAGGCCAATTTTGGTGAGGGTTTTAATCATGAAGTGATGCTGAATTTTTTGAATGATTTTTCTAATCTATTGAGATGATCATGTAATTTTTGCTTTTAATTCTGTTTTTGAGATGTATCACATTTAATGACCTGCATATGTTAAACCATCGCTGGTATGAAACACAGTTGATCATGGTAGATTATCTTTTTGTTATGCTGCAGGATTCAGTTAGCTCGTATTTTGTTCAGGATTTTTTCATTTATCTTCATCAGAGATATTGGTCTGTAGTTTTGTTTTATTGTTAGGTCCTTTCCTGGTTTAGTATTAGGATGATACTGGCTTCATAGAATGATTTAGGGAGGATTCCTTCTTTTTCTATCTTTTAGAATAGTTTCAGTAAGATTGGTACCAATTCTTCTTGGAATGCCTGATAGAATTAAACTGTGAATCCATCTGATCCTGGAATTATTTGTTGGCAATGTTTAATTACTGTTTTAATCTCGCTATGTGTTATTGGCCTGTTTGGAGTTTCCATTTCTTCCTGATTTAATCTAGAAAGGTTGTATATTCCCAGGAATTTATCCATCTCCTCTAGATTTTCTAGTTTGCTTACATAAAGATATTCTTGGTACCCATGAATGAACTTTCGCACTTCTTTGGCATCAGTTGTAATACCTCTCATTTCATTTCTAATGAAACTTATTTGGATCTCTCTTTGCTTTGTTAATCTCACTGATGCTCTATCAATTTTGTTTCTCATTTCAAAGAACCAGCTTTTTCATTTATCTTTTGTATTTTTTTGTTTCAATTTCATCTAGTTCTGCTCTGATTTTTGTTCTTTCTTTCTTCTACTGGGCTTGGGTTTGGTTTGTTCTTGTTTCTCTAGTTACTTGAGGTGTAACCTTAGATTGTCTATTCGTGCTCTTTCAGACTTTTTGATGTAGGCATTTAATGCTATGAACTTTGCTCTTAGCACTGCTTTTGCTGTATTACAGAGGTTTTGATAAATTATGTCACTGTTATTCAGTTAAAATAATTTTTAAAATTTATATTGATTTCAGTGTTGACCCAAGTATCATTCAAGAGCAGATTATTTAATTTCCATGTATTTGTATAGTTTTGAGTGTCGCTTTAGGAGTTAATTTTCAATTTTATTCCACTGTGGCCTGAGAGGGTACCTGATATCATTCTGATTTTCTTAAACCTATTGAGACTGGTTTTTGTGGCTTATCGTATGGTCTATCTTGGAGAATGTTCTATGGGCTGATGAAAAGAATGTATATTCAGCATTTATTGGGTAGAATGCTCTGTGAATATCTGTTAAATTCATTTGTTTTAGGTATAGTGTATGTCCGTTGTTTCTTTGTTGACTTTGTTTTCATGATCTGTCTAGGGCTGTCAGTGGAGTATTGAAGTCCCCCAATATTATTGTATTGCCATCTATGTCATGTCTTAGGTCTAGTAATAATTGTTTTATGAATTTGAGAGCTCCAGTGTTAGGAGCATATATATTTAGGATCTTGATCATTTCCTTTTGGACTGATACTTTTGTCATTATATAACTTCCCTCTTTGTCTTTTTTAACTCTTGTTGCTTTAAAGTCTGTTTTGTCTGATATAAGAATAGCTACTCCTGCTCACTTTTGGTTTTCATTTGCATGGAATATTTTTTCCACCTTTTTACCTTAAATTTATGGGAGTCCTTATATGTTATGTAAGTCTCTTGAAGACAGCAGATACTTGATGGATTTTTATCCATTTTGCTATTCTGTATTTTTAAGCGAAGCATTGGGACCATTGACATTTAATGTTCATGTTGACATGTGAGGTCCTGTTTTCTTAATCGTGCTAGTTGTTGCAGCGTTTACCCAAATTTTGATCTATTCTGTTAGCCTCACCAATGCTATCCATCCTGCTTTCCAAGAGCTACATGAGAGTCTTAGGCCACAATCCAACACCAATTGTGAACCCTTTACATTATAGTTTGGGACACTCTTGAAGGATGTGATGTACCCAGAGGAATTAACTCTAGTGAATAAGCTAGATTAGGAAGGTTTCTGGGGTCCTGGTTTGGACTAGGCTCTGCTTGGAGTGAATATATGGTTAAAAATTTTTCTTGCACTGTTAACAAAATTGCTCATTCCACTGCCCAAGCCACTAGGGCACAACAGAAGTCTCTAGACTCCATTGCTTTCATGGTCCTAAATGACCACATTGCTTTAGTTTATCACCTCACTGCACAGGGTGGTGTTTGTGCTATTGCTAACACTTGCTGCTGTACCTGAATAAATATTCCAGTCAGGTTGAATTGGGAACATTTAAGGTATCAAAGTTAATCAAATCTCTGAAAGGGACACCTTCAGGAAGCCTCCTGGCTGGCCTGACTGGGTTAACTTTCCAATATCCATATATTTTTAGCTGGCTTCCCCCAGGTATAGAATTTTTCTGCATTCTACCCTAACAGTATTTATCTTCCTCATATTTGGAAGCAGTTGCCTCCTCTTTAAAATTGTTTTATCCTCTTTTAACAGATGTCTGTAAGAGACCCCTACCAGGATAGTGTTGACCTGATTCTTGAGACTTTAAACTCACTCTAGCAGGAAACCAAAAGCAACTTAACCCAAGAGATGTTTGTTCAAATTTAAGAGGTACTGAGTGCGTCATAAGTAAATCATCATTTATTTGAAGTAAATGGCTCTAGTTCAATTGGCTACTGCCCTGCCACTAGGATCCATGTGTGGGACTAGATGGACCCAGAGCGGTTTGCTGGTGCTATGATGAAAGGAAGTGCTGTCTGCTGCCATGTTTGAGCTAATTCCTCAAGATGGATCCTGAGTGGGTCACTAGGCCTAAATTTCAAATGGAACAAAGTGGCCATTTGCTAGCTAGGAGTCACAGAGGCATTCTGAGTTCCCTGAAAGCCTACACTATTTAACATTGGGACTCTCAGGACTCCCCTAAACCAACCAATTGAAGGTCACTCACGTCCACCAATCCAGGGTCTGGTGTGTCAACCAATCAGAACTGAGTTTTAAGTTTCAATACTTCATTTGCATAAACAGACTTGATTGGGAACCTGGGCAGGTTCTTCTTACTTAAATGTTACCGTCCTAGCATTTTTTTCTTTTCTTTTCTTTTTTTTTTTTTTTTGAGACAGAGTTTTGCCCTCGTCTCCCAGGCTGGAGTGCAATGGGGGGATCTTGGCTCACTTCAGCCTCCACCTCCCAGGTTCAAGGGATTCTCCTGCCTCAGCCTCCCAAGTAGCTGGGATTAAAGGCACCGGTAACCACAGCCAGCTAATTTTTGTGTTTTTAGTAGAGATGGCGTTTCACCATATTGGCCAGGCTGGTCTTGAACTCCTGTCCTCAGGTGATTCATCCTCCTTGGATGCCCAAAATGCTGGAATTACAGGTGTGAGCCACCATGCCTGGCCCCTAGTCGTTTAAAATTAAGAAAAATACTTATCCAAGCAAATCTATGTTATGTCTACTAAAGGAAACTGAAAGTTTTGTGTCTATATCAGTTAAAACTTTATTTATCCTAGCAATGTTTGATTGATCTTTGTTGGGAATACGTTCTTTTTTGCTGTATAATTGTGGCTGGAAAACAGGAAAGATAGTTTTGTCATTTTTTGTCTTTCATTCTTGACCCATTTCCAACCACTTCTCATGATTTTTTCAGATGATTCCAGGAAGATAACCACCTCCCTTTTTATAATTAATTAAATATTCAATAAATTAATATCCTGCATAAACAGTTATTAAGTTACCAAGAGTTACTTCTTATTGTACAACTGGCGTATCACATCATGAATTTGTATGAATTCTCAGCTCAACATTAGTTTTACAGCCATTTGCTTCATTTAACATGTCATATCAGCCACCAACTTGGTTTTTTGGAAACTTTGAATTTGTAAACCACGATTACCTAGTGTTGATTATTATTATATAACTGTTAAGAATACCATTTAGGAGCTCCTGTGGTAGATTCTACACGTTTTTCTTTTGTATATCTTTTTATTAATATCTTTGAACTTCAATAGGCAATAGGCAGTAGAAGAATTTTATCAAAAGTCTTTAAAAAAATAGACTTAGATATGGACAGGCAATGAATTTGAGAGAAATGAACGATACAGGACTTGCTCATTATTAATGTGAATAAAGCTTGAGTTACATAATCCCTTCAATTTTTTGTGTGTGTGCTTTTCAGGGACATTATCTTATATATGCATGGATATCTATGAATATATGTATACATATGTATATTTTTAGAGAAATTTAACTTTTCAACAAGTCTTCACTCAATTATCACTGGTTGGGGAAGGTTGTCATTCTTTTTAATCTGTCCTTTTTTCTTCCCAGTATAAACTACCTTGTAGTTGTCACATTTTACATATTTCTGGGTTGGGAATCATTGTCTATATTTGTAGGATTGCATTCAGTATAGACAGCCTCATTCCATATCATAATCAGCGATTTGCAAATTTTGAGAAGTCGGAATTCTTACAATGGATTGGTAGAGCTTTACTGCCAGCCCCTTCAAGATTTTCATCCTCCAACTGCAGAACCAGTAAATTATCACTAATACAAATGGGAAAGAAAATATACATGCTGATATTTACAACAGGTTGTGAATAGTACATTAGTATGTCACTTATTTTGGGTATTTAATGTTGCATAGTCATATTATAATTACGTTGTTTCTTTGTAGGTTCCAAGAGTCTAGAAATGTTGTCTCCTTCATCCTTGCAACGAACTTGAGCCATTGATTCAGTAAAACATTCAATGGCACATGCTTGTTGTTAGGATCAAAAGAGATAATCCATCTAAAGGCCTCATGGGCATTGCAAACCACGTAAGTCATCAGTTATGTAACTACTGCTGCTTCTCCTTCACCTCCTTGTAGTGATACTCATAGTAGAGTAATCATAGTGGTAGAGACTATGTTACTAGTACTTTGGTAAAAATGACAGCATGTTCAATAAACACCTTTTATTAGGTCAGAGATCAGAGGACATGTAGCAGCAAAATGAATTTCTTCTTATTTTCTGGTTTTCTGAGGCTAATGTGGATCAGTTCTGTGAGGTTGGCACTGCATAGCAGTCTTAATGTTGTTGTATGATTACATGATTATCTGTGATTACTGTGAATATCTCTGCATTTCTGTGGTTTTTTTTCCATTTGCAAATGTATGTTCTACACATGTCCTCAATTGCTATGACAAATCAAAACTGTTTGTGATTACATGATTATCTGTGATTACTGTGATTATCTGTGCATTTCTGTGTGTTTTTTTTCCCGTTTGCAAATGTATGTAATATACATGTCCTCAATCACTCTGACAAATCAAAACTTTCAGATATTGTTTCTTTGGAAACAATTTGTTGTAGTTATGAAATGTGGAAATGCATACGAAAATCTGAACTACATATCTGCCAGGCATGTAATCATTCAGCAAATTTTCCTGTTAGTACTACTGCAAGCAGTACTAATACTGTAACTAATGGTATCAGTACTAGTAACACTGCTGTTATATTAGTACTAAGAAGAGTATCATCAGTTATCATTCATAGGATTTCACTGGTGGTTTTTCATATACATATTATAATGTATTCTGCTTTATGATTCAATTTACATATTTTTCTAGAATACCCTGTGGCTGTCTATGCCCATAGAGATAATTTATTTGCAGTGCATGCATTGAAGCCACTGCAAACACAGGTAAAGGGAAGTTAATGGTTGAAAATGACAGACTCTTGATTTTATTCATCTGTGATTGCATATTATAAAATATTATGTCCTTACCTTCTCATTTACTTTAATGAGGCATAATTGTTGCATGTAAATGGTGAATGGGATATCCTCACCTGGTTCCTGACCTCAGGAGCCAAACATAAAAATGTTAACAATTGAGTCTTCAGTTAGCCATGTGTGTTCATAGATGCCCTTCGACCAATTGAGGATATACTCTGTGCTATGCCTGATTTGCTGTTATTATTTTTAGATATGGATGTTAGATTTAGTCACATACTTCTCTGCATCTATTGAAATGATTTTTTTCCATTTTAATCTGTTAAATATTGAAACTTGCCAGGCTTTGTCTGGGTTCCCATTCTCTGCACTGGAGTCCATATTCTCTCTCTGAGAAGTTGGCAGGAGAATGGACGGACTGTTCTAACGTGTCCCCTCTCTCACAGATCACTCTACAGTGTCTGAAAGACATGTTTTTCTGTATATATTGGTTTTTCTTTGTTTTAGACACCAGATAAATTTGATCACTATTCCTTCATCTGACCTGGAAACAGTAATCTCCAATTACCAAATGGTAGGAGCCTGGAAATCCTTAGACATGTAGAGGCTTATGTACAAAAAACTCATAATTTTTACATATTACCTACTCATTACCATCTTACCTCTGATACGGCTCATTGTTTTTGAGACCATTCTAGTGAGATGTTTACACCCACAGGATTTTTAAATAGTTTTCCATAAAGCATTGCACCACCTAATTCATCTGGTAAGGGCTTTAAGTCGTTAGCAATCCTGAAGTCTCCTCTTGGAAATGTTTGTATGTTTCAGAGATCTCAGTATACAGTTGGGCACTTCTACAAATTCATCTTTCTTTTTGCTAAGATTCTTGTTTTTCTGTTATTTATTGATGGTTAGTGCTGATAGTTTGTGAAGTAAGTACTTAGTGTGTTGTGTCTTTGTTCTCTCCCACCCTTGTAAATCTAATGGTTTTAATGTTTTAATGACTCTAGATAGACAGTGATATCTCGATTTTTAATGCATTGCTGTATTAAAGAAATTCTCATTCCACATCATCACAGTCAGTAAGTTCCAAGTGAGGCACTTAGGAGAACTCTGACTTCCCATCATAAATCTGAAAGTACCTGCTGCCAGCTGTTTCTGGATTGCTCTCTCATTCATCAGAATTATAAAGACTTTGGGACAATTTGTTGTAAAGAAAGATGGTTAATAGTGATGGCGAATTATACGTAATAGAATTCCTGACAAACTTATCTCGTAGATGGTTAAGTAGGTTGTAAATAGGAAATTTCATAGGTCATTTTTCTTCTTTAGATATGCCCTTTATGTTGCATGAAACATCTGCTGCATTGTTATATCTGAGGATCAAAGTGAATTTTCACACGTGTTCTCATCAATCTTCATGACAAATCCATGTCAATGAGTATGTAATAGATTCATCATCATGTGTTTGTTGTGAGGATGGATGAGAAGATTCACAGAAAATTCTTAAGTACATTGATGTGGTATAAGTGAGCATTTCAGAAATATAAGTTCTTGTTGTTGCTCTTGTCCTTTCACTTCTATTTACTTTTTTAAATGAAATTATTTTATTTTTATAGCATAAGGCAATGAAATATAATGAGATATATAGTAGTCTCTGACTCCATGCCAACTGGTGTATTCAGTGCTTGTTCTTGCATGGTAAACAGCCTATCATCATCTGTGTGAGTTAAATACCCTAGGGCCAATGGAAGAAATAAATACTGGCAGAACTGGGTCAAAATATGAATCATTTTCCAGACGTTTGCCTTCACAACTTTTCTAGACCTCTAACAGTCTGAGAAAATGGACATATTTCTTCTCTGTTCCGTATCAACAATTATATTTGCTTTGATGAGGAAAGGATATGAAACTTTGCTACATTTGTGTCAAGCTTAGTAGTGGGATAATAGGTGAATGATCACGTAGGTATTGGTAATTTCAGGTGGGAATGAGGGTAAGGTTCCAATCATGGCCAGGAGAACTGGATTGGGGTCAGGCATTTAGCAAATGTCATCTGTGCAAACCACTTTTGAGACCGGGCTTACCTTTCTTGGTTCTTGTCTCCTAGATTTTGGCCAGGCATTTCCTTACTTACAGGAAGGTCTTTGAGAGTTTCAAGAGGAGTTGTAAAGTATATTTTGTTTAGCTTGCTTAGTTGTCCAAAGCAGCAATATTGGAACGAATTACCTTTCCCCATTATCAAAATCAGTAGTTTCCAAATTATGTTTTAATAGAATGATTGCTGCTACTAAGGAAAGCTTTTGGTTTTTGTGTGTCTTGTCTAACCAACTTACGAAAGCAAGTTAACAGTAGTCATCATTTCGGGTTTTCTTCAGTTCTTTGGGTGTTTGATATTATCCATGTGCATGAGGCATTGCAAAACCAAAAGCAAACTCCACATTCCATTTTGATAGTGAGTCAGAGAGCGTGCTAAATGTTGGAAATAGGCCTCACCTCTTTGTCTACATTTGCCTTTTAGAGACAAGATGTTTACTTCAGGCAGGGCATGGTGGCTCACGCCTGTAATCTCAACACTTGAGAGGCTGATGGGGGCGAATCACCTGAGGTCAGGAGTTAAAGACCAGCCTGGCCTACATGGTGAAACCCTGTCTCTACTCAAAATACAAACATTAGCTGGACGTGGTGGCGGGGGCCTGTAATCCCAGCTACTCAGCAGCTGAGGCAGGACAATTGCTTGAACCTGGGAAGCAGAGGTTGCCATGAGCCGAGATCCTGCCATTGCACTCCAGTCTGGGCAAAGTAAGTGAAACTCTGTCTAAAAAACAAAGAAAAAAAAAAAAGAAAACAAACAAACAGACTAGGAAGGTATCATTTAAGAAAGAAGAATGAAATAAATTAGTACATTTGAATATTGAATATATTTTCCTGAATAGTTGTTGCCTGAACACCTGTTTTTTCATTGTGTTAATGTTTTATAGTCCCGTAGAAATTTATGCTATAAGGAGATTCTCTTTCGGTCTATTTCAAAGTTTTGTTAGAAGACGTAGAGCTCCTTTTAGCATCTCTTGTAGTGCTGGCTTGGTAGTGGTGTATTCTCTTCAGCATTTGTCTGAAAAATCTTCTCTCTTCTTCATTTATGAAACTTAATTTTGCGGGATACAAAATCCTTGGCTGATAATTATTTTGTTTGGAAAGGCTAAAGATAGGACACCAATCCCTTCTGGCTTGTAGGGTTTCTGCTGAGAAATCTGCTGTTAATCGGATAGGTTTTCCTATATAGGTTACCTGAGGCTTTTGCCTCACAGCTCTTAAGATTCTTTTGTCTTTGGATAATCCGATGAGTATATGCCTAGGTGATGATCTTTTTGCAAAGAATTTCCCAGGTTTTGTTTTTTTTGTTTGTTTGTTTTTGAGCTTCTTGTATTTGGATGTTTAGATCTTTGGGCAAAGCCAGGGAAGTTTTTCTCAATTATTCCCTCAAATTTTCCAAAAACTGAGACTTCTCTTCTTCCTAAGGAACACCAATTATTCTTAGGTTTGACCATTTAACATAATCCCAAATTTCTCAGAGGCCTTTTAAATTCATTTTTAATTTTTTTTTCTTTGTCTGTGTCTGATTTGATGAGTTTGAAATCCTTGTCTTCAAGCTCTGAAGTCCTTTCTTCTACTTGCTCTAGTGTCTTGTTGACACTTTCCGGTGTCTTTTGTATTCCTCTGTGTCTTTCATTTCTAGAGGTTGTGATAGTTGTTTTCTTTATGGTATTTATTTCTCTGAAGATTTTGTCATTCATATCCTATATAATTTAATTTTTTTAAGTTGGTTTTTGCCTTTCTCTGGTATCTTCTTGAGTAGCTTAATAGTCAACCTTCTGAATTCTTTATCTGACAATTTAGAGATTTCTTCTTGGTTTGGTTCTATTGCTGTGGTGCTAGTGTGGTATTTCGGGGTTTGTTATAGAATCTTGTTTTGTCATATTTCCAGAATTACTTTTCTGACTCCTTCTCATTTAGGTAGACTATGTCAGTGAAAAGATTTGGAACTCAAGGACTACTGTTCAGATTCATTTTTTCCATGGGGTGATCCC